TCTCGCTTGCAAATGACGAAAGGAACGGGTTTTGCCAAAGTAGTAAAGATGTAAGTAAACATGTCCCCCGTTCTAATCCGCGGCTCTTCTCCTTTGTCCCCAACAATCCTCTTCTTCAATGCAGGGACTGCCAACTTCGTCGGCACCCCCTGAATATGCTGGCAAAAGCTCAGCATCCATGCTTAAGTGCAACCTCAAAGCTCCCCTTGAAAGTCTCTCATCTCCCCCCCCCCCCTCAGACCTGCTCATTCCCCTGCAGAGTGGCCTGGATCGACCCCCCCGTCCCCTTCTTGCCGTCCACCTCCTCCTGCGCGTTTTGCCGGTTTCTAAACTCCGCCGGCGCGTATAGCCGCACGCCCGCCTCTCGTTCGTGGTCATGATAAGCGGACCCCCCGTGCTTGCTTACATCCATCCCGGCGATTTCGACGTCCGGCGAGACGCGCAGCCACCCCGCCTTATGGAGGAGGAAGAAGAGGGGGCCCATCGTCGCAGACACCCAGCCGGCAATAACTAGAATGTCGATAATCTGGGCAGCAAACAGCTTGCCGCCGCCGCCGTAGAAGAGGCCGTACGGTGTGGGTGTGCTGTCGTCCTTGCCGGAGTAAGCCTGCAGAGAAGGCAGTGTTTCGTCGTTATCCCATGAACGAGATCTTTAGGGTTTTGAAATTCCTGGGCTGTCAGAGATAGACATGGGCAGGCCGGCTCAAAGTTGAGGGGTTCCGACTGGCTACTCCAATTGCGACGGCATGTAAGAAACACAGGCGTCTTTCTCCAAATGATGCGGCTTTCACGTGTTCGTTTACCGTGCATCTTTCTCTCAGGCTTCCACACTGTTTTGCATGGCCGATCACATCCTGACCTTTTCTCAGACCTTTCACACTCTTTTGCATGGCCAATCCTACCCTGATCGACGGACCTTGATTTACGTTTGCCCGATTTTTCTCCTCTTTTTCATAAGTTACTTAATCAACAGGACGGCTCCTTTTTTAGGTGCTCAATTAGACCCCGCGACTCACCTCCAAGATGAATTCCTTCTTGGCCAGCAAACCTACGAAGAGCAAGCCGAAAGCGCCGCACCCCCCGTGCAATTGGAACGCCTCCAACGGATCGTCGTAGCGGAAGCGCGGCATCAACTTGCACAGCCCCAGGAACACCCACGCGGTGCAGAATCCGCAGAGAACTGCGGCCCAGGGCTCGAGCACGTGCGCGCCTGCGGTGATTGCGGCGAAGCCGGCGAGGAGCCCGTTGCAAGAGTCCTGCGGGTGAGAAGAAAAAGGGGTCATTAGGGGGCAAAAGATCCGGGCTGGGACTAGGTTTATGAGAAGCTGGGCTGCACACACAAAGAACATTTATATCGATTTACAGCAGAACTACGCAGAACATCCCCGTGCTATCTTGACAATCTTTTCCGCAGCTCAGTAAGTTCAACCTTGGCTTGGAGCAGGGTTAAGCAAATTCGGAAAACTTGGAGAGAACGATCTCCGGAGTACGTAACGGCAGAAGCTGAAAGGCATACCATGAGTGCAGCTCGAAGTACGACGGGATGGTCAATAAAACCAGAAAGCACCTTCTAACCGTTGATCAAGCCTTCCGGAAACCAGAACGTGAGCAGCCATTTAACTGCACAATCACAGCATAAGCGCAGCTCATTTCAGGAAATTGACGAAACCATATTGACAATTGCAACGTCGCACCTTCTGAACGTCGGATCAAAATCTGTGAAACTTCAAAACGTGAGCAGCGGCTTTACCTGCACTGTCCAGTGCCCATCAGTGTACCGCCGCGCAAAGAGCGTGGTCACAGCGGAGGCGGCCCCCGAGAGAGTGGTGCAGACCGCGATACGTCCGACAACGACCGAGTTGGCGCCAATGATGCTTAGCTGCGACCCCGGGTTGAAACCGTACCAGCCGAACCAGAGGAGGAACGTCCCGAGAACGACGAGAGTGCCGCTGTGGCCGCGAATCTCGAGCGACTTGCCGCCCTTGTCGAACCTGGAGGAAGGGGGTAAATGGGTGGTTTGAGAGAGGACGGTAGGGGGAGAACTGAGTTAAAAGGAGATTATGACGACGGTACAAGTGATCCAGGGTGGTCTGGAGAGTGTTTTGGCCCTCGGAATTTGAGCAACTCGCTGCCTTTGTCGGATTGAAAGGACGTACTATAAGTCCAGACAAAGGTTCTGAGAAGCAATTTGAAAGAGTATCGTCAGAGCACAAATCTGGAAGGTGGGGCCAACCACAAAGGTGCTGAAACTACTAGATTGCGATCCACCTTTCAAATAGCTCGAGCAAATAGCGCAGCACTTATTTGGGCCATTGATGGCATTCACAGTTCGCAATTCAATAGAGACCGCACACTCAACCCCTGGCTTTGATTGACCTGAAGGGTTACTCATAACAAAGAGAAAAGTAAGGCTTACCTTCCGAGGCGAGGCCCCTCAATCGTGGCCGCCCAAAACCCTGCAAGTCCGCCCACCATGTGAACGACCCCGCTGCCCGCCAGATCGATGACACCGACATCGAACAGGTAGTTGCCGTCTGCCTTATAGGCGCACGCCCAACCGTCAGCCGACCAGACCCAGTGCGAGACAACGGGGTACACAAACCCGGTTAGGAACGAGGAGTAGATCAGGTAGGCCTGCAGAAAGCGGGTTAAGAGATGTGTTATGATAAAGCAAGATTCTTTTGGTAAGCAACCCGGTTGAGACCGCGGAAGACAGAATCTAGTTCCAAATGAGGTTAGTCTGCAGAAAGTGAGCTTGTGAACCAGGTAAGTTTCAGCGTCGCTCCTTTGTCCTTATCCTTCAGCGGGTAATCTGGCGACCGGCAAAGTATTTATGGATGGACAGACTCCTGATACACAAGCCGCAGAACGAGGATTTCAATCGAGCGCGCAGTTACTGTCCTACCTTTCATCCACCTTACGATACCTGGCAGAGAAACTGGTCTAGAACTTATTGTAGTCAAGTTGGCGATAAAAGCCATAGAAACATGTGAGCTGAAACCCATTTCCTTTAGGTTAGAACTACCAGTAGACATGCAACTAGTTTGAGCAGAAGCGATGGGACAAGCTGCATTTCCAGCCCTGTAACAAAGCCATGCAAACCCGAAACTGACTTTGCATTTGTAAGCCCCGCCACTGGTTTGGTTACTTGAAGGAACTCAGTCAATGCAAGTGGCAACCACAGCCTTTCAAGAACCAGCAACGACCGCAAGAAAGACTTATAGGAACCAAAAGAACTCAAGAACCGTGTGAACAAAGCCGCGGTATATTTCGAGGTCAGTTGACATTGGTTAAAGACGAGCGAAGGTTTACCACAGCAAACCACAGGCCAGTTGTCACAATGTTCTGTTCAAACACTGCATCTATTGATACGCTAACTACGTTTGGGAGCCAGTATCTTCCAACCAGTCCCTATGTGCACATCGCTATCTTGTGGAGTTTTCAGACCTGAGCCTTACAACCAACAGGGTGCTGGCTTTTGATGTATGATGACATTTGCAAAACAATCAAAAAGTGGTGGCGCTGAGGTTTTCCGTGGGCCTAACCTGAAGTTGTCAACCTGACGAAGTCATTCGTCATGGAAAAGGACGCAATGCCCCAGCTTTCGACAATGTTGCGGAGCAGAATATGCAACACCAATACCCTGAGCTATCATCTATGCATATTGCAAGTCGCCCCATTGCTCGCTTCCCTAAAGGGGCGCAGCTTTTCTGGCGGCTTCCCATCTTAAAGTACCAATCCACAGCTCTTGGGTTTCCCACTTGTTTAATCCACAGTTTACTTGCTTCTCATCTTTTTGGACCACCCAGCAATGTTACTGAATGAAAGTGCCGACTTGGCAGTCCGCACAGTCTGTCAGCACGGTAGTAGAAACATACAGTAAAAAGACAACAGCAATCAAACCAGTACAGGACAGAAAAACCAGGACAAAACGGTGGAGAAAAGGCAAAAGCAGAAAGGTTCAGAAAGATAAAACAAAAAGAACAGGTTGTCAGAGTCAAGAGTTTGATCACCATGTGGGGGCACCATACCTGAAACTTGGTCCTCTCCGCAATCGACCCCGACGTGATGCCCGCACACGCGATGGCAAACGACCACTGGAAGATCCATGTCCGGTAATCTGTGAATTCGTGCATTGCAAAGTTGGACACCCCAATAAACCCGTTCGCATTCTTCCCCGTCCCGTACGCAAACGCGAACCCGAACAGGTAGTACGAAACAGCCCCCGCCGCAGCGTCGAGCACGTTCGTCAACAGAATGTTGAGCGCGTTCTTGGCGCGCACGAAGCCGGCGCAGAGCATCGCGAACCCGATTTGCATCGAGAACACGAGGTAGGCGGAGAAGAGGAGGAAACCGGTGTCGACTCCGTCGGCAAGGCTCTGGAGCTCGGTGCAGAGCAGGTCCGTCGCTGCGGGCCCGTTCGCCCCGACGGCCGAGGAGAAGTTGGCGCGGAAGACATCCGAGCAGAACGACATGGTAACGGCCTGGTTTGACCGTCCCCGGGTAAGTCAGAAGTCGGTGCCAACAACTATGCTGGGTGGCTGATGGGAAGAAGTGGTAAAGGGATGCCTTGGCAAGGAACTAGTGTCTTGTGAGAATGAAGAATGGAAGCATTAGGCAGGTAGGTTCAAAAGGAACAATGAGCACCATGGACAAGGTCGCGCAATGTGGTTCTGTGACCAACAGGTTCGAAGAGCTTCTGCAACAGGGTCGACCTAGCAGGCGACCTCAGCTCAAGGAAGATGAACTTTCCACGATGTCGCCAACAATGAAGACATGAAGACAGCTGCCTGTTTGCGGCGCCTTGTGCTGAGGACCAGATGCAGCCACACCTGGCCACACCCTCCCTTTACCAGCGTACAAGGTCTGCTCTCATAGGTGGATGCCGCCATGTGAATGTCATGGCACCTTCTTCCTCGAATCAACAGCATGTTGACAGCTGTGAAAACTAGAAAGGCTTGCGATGAATACCTCCATGCGGTAATGGTTGTGCTCAATTACCAATGGACGGCAGGAATGTCGTACGGATCAGCACAAACGGTTGCGATACGACGCAATCCCGGAACACCGTCGACTTTCAACTTTCAAATTCAAAGTTTTCATATTTCAGACTTTGGTTTTCAATACGTGTAGTTCTGCACTGCCCTCGCTGCAGCTCGTCGGATCCGACGCATGGCAGGCTCCTTTGTGGCCAATGGGTGACATGACAGTAATTGATACAGTCCCTTGAGTGACATTCGGATTGTGCGCCCACATTTGATTTCTGCTGCAGCGGCGCATGAAAGGTATGAATACCTATATCCTTTGCATTAGTGATAGTTATAACCGTTATTAGTAGATAATTTGACGGTGGTTAAGTTGACGGCATTGCGCCCGGCCGCAATTGCTTCGATCCTGGAAACAATATCACACTGAGAGGCACAGGCCATGGTCGGCCGCCAGCCACGTACGCGACATTCTAAGATAGCTTTCGGTTGGTTGCCGGCCTTAGCATACGCACACAGATGGACTTGGATTATCGATCTTCCATGATTGCAGCCTGAACACTGGTTGAGGATTTATGCAGATTTCGTCCATATCAGTGCATGCTCGCTTGCTATCAAGCATGGAAGTGGAAGACTGCAGTGATAAACTTGTTACAAACATGCTAGCCCAGCCGTAAACAATCGCAAGCAACTTGTCGTTTGTACATACAATCACAGAGTTCTGGGAACCGCCTACTATTGCACACTCGCTCGCAGCGACCACAAGCTTTCAAAGGTGGTCAGTCGTGCATATGATGGGTTGCGCTGACCGTTCCCTTGGCGCAAGCTTACTCCGGAAAGACGACGAAGTTACTATGCTCACAAGATTCTCGAAGTTGCAAAATGAGTGTTTCGCTCGCTAGCAGAAAACTTGTTGACTAGTGCTTTATTGTCAAACCGTGGACGAGCCCCTTCCAGGTCAATTTGACCTCGGTCTCTCAGAGCCTATCACTCAGCCACTTGGCGCCGCTTCTGTACAAGCGAACCACAAGACGGTGGCTTTTAGCATCTTCGTTGAACAATCTGAGCAGATTCGTCTTTCTCTATAACCGTATATGCTCTGAGCTGGCTGGTTCTGTATGTACACTTCCGTCTACAGGGCGGTTGCTAGGGCTTCAAAAACCAGACGATCAAGAACAATCCTATCGTCACTGGTATAGCCGGGTAAATATACGACAGCCATTGCCTGTGCATGAAAAGAGACCAATCTGAAATCTGAAATTGAAGGTGCAACTTGGGAAAAGGTTTGAAGCCAATCGTTATCATGCCGAAGTCTTCTTTTTCGTTTTCATTTCCAGCTTTAAAAACTAGAACAGTGCGAGTATCTGCATCTGAACCTTAAGAACCGCCACTGCGTTCCAAATCTCGTGGCAACTTTTTGAATTTAAGAAATTTCCGACGGGATTAAGTAGATGCAAATTTTACGATGATCCATCACCCAGCAAGTGTATACCTCAACAAGGTAGAAAACGGCTTGAACATTCTGCATGATCGTGACCACAGGAAGCGCATCTTTCTCATACGTGCAGCAGCTAGCTTCAAACTGATTATTACCGCCAAAGTTCGCAGGATCCAAGCATCTGTAAAGCTCTTCAGAATCTCGAACGAGGTTTGCAACACATAACCTGAATAAGACCATATCAAAACCAACGAAAGAAAAAGCTGTAGCGCTCAACCACGACCAGCTTTCCCATTGGGTTACCCCCCTTCCACCCACTCATTCTTAGATTTCGAAAGCCAAGCCACCACATAACAGGAACCCAAAGCATAACAGAAGGAAAGCACAAGATATCAGTCTCCATGATGAAACTCACCCAATCACGTTCTTGATAGTCCCCCAGAGCCCCCCCTCCTCTTTCTTCTCCTGTGCCCGGGGCTTGCCGCCCGCGCTCGACTCGCGGGTCACTCCCGGAGTGCCACCTGCACAGGGGTACAGGGCACCAAGATTTGAGAGCCGGTGGAGCTGCCGCTGGGTATGGATGCCCCGCACCCCTGTGCAGGGTTCCGGAGGGGAAGGAGGGGGGGCGGAGCGGAACCGGGGGAAACGGGGCCGGACGGAAGGAGCTCAAGCAAAGCAATCGAACGGGAAGTGCGCACAAAAACTAGTCTGCAAACCGACTCTTAGCGGAAGGGGGCACAAACGAAATCGAGAGACAATCGTGCAACCCGAGCTGTGAAACCGAGGGTTATATGCGGCCAGAGAAGGAGAAAGGTCAGACAGCGAGAGACTTTGAAGAAGCCTACACCACCCAAGCCCTGAAGCCACTGTCTGCTTGAAAGACCTCCATTTTTGCGCGAGCAGCAAAAGCAACTGATTCCCTCCGCCGCTAGCGGCAGAGAACAACAAGCACACGCAGCGGGATGGGACGAGACACCGCCTTGACAGAACCCAATAACTATAGCGTTCTCTGTGGCTGGAAGCAGAGTCTCGTAAACTTCCCCACACGGCAATCTCTCCAAACCACGGGGACGAACTCTTCTCGTTGGAAACTTCACTAGGCAATCTCAACGAAAAGCCCCTGGTTCATTGTGAGTTGTCCTCGATAACGAGTATTCAAAACCCCGTTCTGATGAGATACATCCCTGAGGACATGATCAGTTAGGTGCTTTCTGCACGATTTTCGGTTTCTTTCAACCCAAAACTTTTTCTGCGAGACCTAGCTACCTTGGCGGGCTGCCCAGAAGACCGGCTGCTAACCGCTTTCCTAACCCCTTTTCCTGTTCCCTTGGAAGCTTTTGATCGGGTCGCCTCAGTCGAACCGTTTCTACCAGCTATGTTAGTTTCGCTTGCACTAGGATCCTCCGACAAAGCCTCACTTCGTCGGCCATCATCTGGGTTAGTTGTGTCTGCTTTAACCTTTCTTCTCGACGAATCACCCGACGCCTTACTTATGGGCTTTCTACGGGCATTCCTTGCCCCTGTCGCCCCAACCGACTGCTCACCAGCCTTACCGTTCAATCCCGTCTCTTTGTCCACCTCTACTGCGTTACCTGTGGGAGATCCTACCTCCGTTTCTGCGGAAGCAAGACCGTTTTCTGTTTCTAAAGCATCAACGTCCTCCGAATGAGAAGCAAGGTTGGAGGAACGCTTCGTACGTTTACTACTGGTCGAGGAGGGCGTCGATGTGCTGGCGGTTGACGTGGCACTCGTGGATGCAGCGGCGCGCGCGGGGGTCGCTTTCACCCGCCGCCGGCCCCCCCCTCTTTGCAACTCGGCTAGCTCCTCGATCAAGCTCAACTCGTTGGCACTGCAGGAAAACAAGGGGGCGTGACGATCTTGTAGGAGTTCAAGTGAAGCTACCACAAGCTGCGCTTACAGATTCTTGACATTTTTATCCGTTTTTCCCACCAAAAACCTGGTGTAGCTTGATGCAGACCAGATGGAACCGAGAAACACAGTTGTAACTTGTTCATGCCTTCTTAGGTGAACAACTGAGTGGTTAGTCAGGGGCAAAGACCTGGCCAGGGCAGAGCTTTTATCAGTACCAGGTGTTATCGCTGAACACGATCAAAGCCAACGGCCATACATACATACGTCCGAGACCTGCAGAACCGCTCTCCAATAGGCTTCTTAAAGTATGAGGAAAACTAAAAGCTCCCTCGCAAGCAGGCAGTTCGGCTCTGCTTAGCTTCGACTTCTCGAAACAGCGACGAAGAACGCCAACCAAAGTCAACAGCCAAACATACCTGGGCTTCGTCGGGATGCCCACTTTCACTGAGAAGTAGTGGTTCCCTCGTTGCCGGGGGTTGCCGAGTGCCGGCACCCCGAGCTTGGACATCATCAAAGTGTCCCCCGGTTGTGTTCCCGACGGAATCTGCAGCTGCTTCACGCCCTCGACTGTCTTCACCTGAAAGCAAGTAAAGGAAGGATTCGAAACAGCCAGCCAGAAAGCGCGCGTCGTCATATGTTCTGCTTCCCAATCGGCAGTGGAAAATGCATGAGAGAAGTTTCACTTCGTTGGAAACGGGTGACCAGCTTCCGCTAACGGTCGACGAACCAGGTTGATTGCATGTTGGAGCAAGCAGCGCCGGAAGCAAGCACTCGCAGTGACTGCCGGGCCCAGTAATTCCTTCAATAGCTTATGCTCACTTTTTGCAACATAAGCGTTACCCAACGAACCGATTCGGACAAGCAGCGCCGGAAGCAAGCACTTACAGTGACCTCCGAGCTCGAGATGCTCTCCTTTAGCCAATGCTAATCCATGCGCAACATCACTGAGAATCGACGAATTTGATAGTAAAGCCAAAACAGGTGCGCCGGAAGCAAGAACTCACCGTGACCACCGTGCCCAAAATTGCCTCTATGTAGCTAATGCTGATCCTAGAGAACAGGTCTTGTCCCTCCCGCGTGATGTCAGGGTCGTCTTGCACGCTAAGATACACGTACAAGTCGCCGGCCGGCCCTCTGCACCAAAATGACGTCAACAAAATTATCAGGACGTCAGCATCAGTCACAATGAAGATACAAACTTTGAGAGGTGAGGCATTGAATTTGGGTAGAGCACTGAGGCGGAATGCCGAGAGTGCCAATTTTGAGCTTTGACCAGCGGTCCCCGGAGGTAACGTTATGCTGATAGAAGCGGCTGACAGAATCATGTCGAGCATTTTCAGCAGGCCGTTGTTTTTAAGGAAACGCAGGCATATGCAGGAAGCCCTGACACAACAGGTATCCGATTGCAATCAGACCCTTACCCTCTCGGCCCTGCGTTCCCTTCCCCCCGCACTCGTAACGTGCTCCCACTCTGGACGCCCGCAGGAATCTTCAACTTGATGGTCTTCTTGACGCGTATCCGGCCCTCCCCCCCACACTTTCGACAGAACTCTGAGATGACCTCCCCCTCGCCCGAGCATGTCGGACAAGTCGCTACCTGCACCAACGGTAGAAACAGTGTTTGAAGTTCGTGCAGACTTGGTGACGGATTTGCAAAGATTTCCAGTCCCCTTACATATGTGAGACGAGTGCGGTAGTATCGAGGCACATTGACAAGATAGCGGAAATGCTTCCCGACTTTCCGAAGTGGGAGTCTTTAGCACAAACCTTCGGGTCAACCAGAAAGTCCGAGACCATTCAAAAGGTCGACGACAGGGTTGGCACGGAGGGCGTGCTTCTATGCGAACTAGCTCTTCCAGAAGTAATTGCTATGAAAGGAGGCATGGCCTTCATAGAACTCGTTGCAGCAACAAAGTTAACCAGTAATACAGGGCATTCCCTTATCCAGTTTCTGACGCGGCACTATCCTGTCGGGTGGTCGGAAAGGGACTGGCATCAACTCCCACCTGCTGGAACACACCAAACGGCGTCTGTGATGTCGTGATGACCTGTCCCTGACCCCCGCACGTTGAGCACGTCTTTCGGCTGCTCCCCCCCCTGGCTCCCGTCCCATCACAAGAACCACACTGTTCCAAGTGCTGTGCCTCAAACTCCCGGTCCGCTCCAAAAACGGCCGCCAGGAAGTCCAGCTTCAGATCGAACCTGTGGATGAAGGAGCAGATTTATAAGATATATGCGAGGGACTTGCTCGCAACAGTCGCAGTTCTGGGGCTGCAGTTTGAGTCTGAATAAGTGAAAGAAACTTCAACACTCGGTTGAAGACAATTCTCCAAGTAGAGTCCTACGATTCAACCATTTGGACACAAAGCAGCTTCACGTTCTTTCTGAGGGAGGTGCCAATATGACCAGCGGAGGTAGCGGATTCCTCGTGCTCAGGGCTGTGCACTTCTCCAGAAATCGTTAATGCAACATACACTGGTCTCTGTTCCCTCTGCAGATCTGCTTACAAGGAGACTATGTTGAAGCAGCGAAACCTTACAACTGGCGTCTGATTCTTACAAGAGGCGTCTGATCCTTCCAAAAGATTCGTTCATCTCTCACTAGGAATAGCCTTCCGAAGTTCGGTGCAACGAATGCCCCGGACCGTCATACCTACATGCACATCAGGAACTCCAGGAGGCGTGAAAGCATTACGGCACCTACCGGATATCCTCTCCTTTGACGGGCTGCCTCCTTCCCATTCCTCCGAAACCCCCCATGCCTCCCATTCCACCCATACCCCCCATGCCTCCCATGCCTCCCATTCCCCCCCGGAAGAACTGCTCGAAGATGCTCATCGGATCCGCCTGTGCACAGCCAATCAAGAATGCACGCATGAGCAAATCTTCATAATGACGCGACACACTATGTTTCGTCACGCCACAAGGTTGCCGCGCGGTTCAAGCTGGTAGAGAACGGGCTTTATTGACTCTACAATGATGCAGTGTCAAAGACAATCTCTACCACTTAGTTCGAACTCGTGGTGAAGGACACACCATCCTCATCTCTTTATCCTGCCTCGTTGGTCCAGCAAAAGGGCCAGATTGACTCCTCCCAGCACCAGATCCTTGAGCCAAAAGGACATAGGCTGTCCATGGTTTGGTTGTTGGCAACTGCTTTGGGGACCACAAACAGCCTGCTAGACCCTCACCCCGTAAGCACCGCCCCCGCCCATGCCACCACCTTTGAGGCCTGCCTCCCCGTACTGGTCGTAGACTGGCCGCTTCTCATCGTCTGAAAGCACCTGCACATCATCCACACAAGATTGACTAAGATCAGGATTTAGAAGCTCAAAGTTGTCCTTGGCTACAGCACAGACAGGTGAATCCGGTTGTTCACAACAGACCACAGGAAAGGGGATGCTGATTGGAAATTTCCATATAGTGATAAACCCACAAAGACGCCACTGGATTCAGATTCAAAGAACAGGACTGGCAGCATTCCAGGCGCAATTGGCTCTTCTTGTGGCCTCAAAATCACCAAAAAGATGAATGCCCGGTCCTGAGCTGTCTTTGGATCATCCAAACAATCTGCTGCAATCTTCAAAGCGGAAGTCCTGTCTTCATCACACCAAGGTTATCTTCTACGCATAAAGCATAAACTGCGCACACTTCAATCATCCGCGTCTCATCGCACTGCAGAACACGGTAAGATGACAGCATGCTCACCTCGTATGCATTGCTGATGTCCTTAAACTTTTGCTCTGCACCGGGTTGCTTATTCACATCCGGGTGGTACTGTCAGGAACAATGCGATATGCATCAAGAGCCAATCACCACCCTCGTCGATGGCATCAGCTAAACCTTGCTAATCTGGCAATCTAACCAGATCAACCTGGTCAAAATGACTTCAAACAAGGCCGACAGAGAAAACTTGGGTCTATTGCAAGTGCAGTGAGAGTGCCTCCATTTGACATTCTTGAGCTCCATGTCAGCCGCGTAGGTCTCCGTGTAGTGCATAGTCCGGACAGATAAATATACATTGGATGTCGGCAGCCGAATGCAGAACAAGGTCGCCAACAACACAAACATGTGATTCAAAGCTATTACTTATGAGGAGATGGTAACGGTGAAGAGTAACAGCTAAGAAGTGATTGGTTGGAAATGCTGCAACTACTTTTTTCTGCTGCAGCTTTGTAGGTTGGCTCTGCATCCAGAAAAGGGAAGACACTGGCAGAAAAGGTCAAGAAGGGCAAACATTCTCACCTGCCGCGCCAGCTTCCGGTATGCGCTCTTGATCTCCGCCTTGGATGCACTTTTTGAAACACCGAGTGTCTGATAAAAGTCTGCCCGAGCGCCCCTGCTGACCTTCGTCCGGCCACCATGCCGTTGTTTCTCCTTCTGCATCATAGTATGCAGCAAAAACCAGTCGCTTCCATTGCCTGTCAAGAAACCACATTGGCTGCCCCTAGCAACGGAAGCAGATGGAAAGGCCTGCGGGCGTAGCAATCTATTTGTTGGATGACACAAAACATTGACTGTGTTTGGTTGTTCATTTGAGTGTGCATATCCGCTTGTATGTATTGATCGACTGTGGCTGGAGCGGGGACCATTTGCGGATAGAGGAAAGAGGCTCGCTGGCGAGCTCAAACCAGTTGCGGCGCCCAATGCCGCTGTCGGCGCCATTGAGGATAAGGCCTTTCGATGCGGGCGGCCGCTGGTTCACCACCTACACTCACAAGCTTCTTCTCTTCAAAGCCAGCCAAAAGCACCCTACCGACGTCATTACATGCTTGACAACTCCCTACTGTATGTGAACCCTGTGGCGCTGCTCACAGCTCTCCTGTTCCTCCCAAGTCTTCGTGCGGATGCAGTCCTGACAATGGATACTTCTCTTATACTAGGTAATAGCCCTTGCGAATCAAAGGCATGGGGCGGCGACAATCAGAGATGGAGACCGCTGGCACTGCAGAGTCGACTGCTAAGTTCTTCAGACTCCAGACTTCTTCGTCCTCCTCACACCCGCAGAAACTTTTCGCCAATCAAAGTTTTTAACACTCACAAAGTTCTGAACACTTGATACCGAACTTTGCCCGCCTCATGTCCAGCTAACTTATCACAAAGTTACTGCAAAGTTGATGACGTGTTCAACTTCTGAAGTTCGGGCGCGCCTTCACCTTCCGCAGAAGCTGGCATACCGCATCATCATGGCAGCATTCTGAGTGGTACAAAGGCGGTTTTTATCCTTCCCCTCTTCTGCAAATGGGTTACAGGCAAGCTAATGGGAGAAGCATACTTTTGCTGCTCAGCTAGCCGCTGCCTGCGGAATCAATTTTGCAGAACTTGCCAAGAGGCTGACGAGGTTGTGAGCTGCTACACGTAACGTACAACATGGAGTTGGCGGCGGCAATTAGTTGTTCGGGGCCTGCAGTCTTTCCAGCTCTGCCTAGAGGGACTGCGCAATCATGTCAACAGTCCGCTGCCTCTGGGGCCTGTCTACATTCCACCAACTCTGGCGCCTTTCATTCAACCACTCGAAGCGGCCACGTATTGAGACAGCTACAATCCTGGAAGAGACTCAACGCTTTGAGAGAGGAGAACTCAATGCACGGCCCTGAAGTTGGTACAGCAAGCAGGCAGTGTAGATTTAAGCAGCGCATAATTAGAAAATCAAACCGGTCTGGTCAGAGCTTAATCACTTGTAGAAGCAGTGCCTCGCAAGAAGCGCTCCCAGCGCCTCCGGAAACCTGGCCCATCGAGCCGCCACTGGAGAAAGTGGAGCACGAGCGGTACATGTACCCGGCGGACACTCTGCCCGGATACGTCTCCCACAGCAAGGACCCGCGCGTGCCTGTGAAACATAAAACGGTGAGTGGACAACCTCCAATTTCTTCACTTCATGAGTCTTCACTTCATGAGTGTTACCACCTTATACATCGCGGAATGCATGTGCGCCTTGCAAGTGCATATAGCTAGGAGCATGTGAAGCTCCTCTCTTGCAATTCCATCTCGTGATTTTATTCCACTTTGCACGGGTGAGTGTTGAAGAAGGACTGCATTCCCAGAACTCCTGCTTAATCGAAACATCTCGATCCATGATCAGTTGGTTAGCAAGCCCTAATTGGTGGTAAAGGTGCTATTTCTGGCCCCTGTTTGTGCTGCCACTCGCGAGCAAAACGCTATATCTGGAAAGACTCCGCTTATCTCAGAGGACCTTCTTTACAATGCAGAGTCAAGATTGCCTTGTGCCTGCCCTTCTATTCATCTTCCAGGAGAAGACTTATTAACCAGAGTGGAATGTTCTGGTAAAAAGCCCAAAGGGCTGTGGGCAAACCTTAGCCTCTGACATACTTTTCAGTTAGAGTAATTTGTGGGTAAGCTCGCATTCAGCTGGGGCCTCTTTTGACCATCCCACATCTATGATCTGGCACTGTCATACTACAAGTTACTTCCTGCTTATAAGAATCATTGCCCAATCGTACGTCTCTGTCACTTGTTCGCCATATGGCGCCACCACCAGTTAGTCACCAGAGATTCTTACATCCCGTTCGACGTCCATTCTCCTAGTTTGCTGACAAATGACAGCTTCATGTGGGAAATCACATCCTAGCTTCCCGAATATACATGGCAATTTCTTGTCTCCTTCTTTGTGCTCAGATGGCAATCAGGTGAATGCGCACAACAATATCTCAAAACATATGCAGTCTGACAGGTGCAGGTGTTCCGAACATGCTTACAGTTTTCAAAGCTCCAATGCTGCCAATTGCGGCATCATGGTAAACAACCTCTTGGCACGCGACTTTACCTTCCAACCTTTGCGGGTTCACAAATGCCTTGTTTCTCTGAAGCGCTTCCCTTCCGCCCCCCATCATACGCTGCTATGAAAGAAAATTCTGTGTCTTGCTGACGACTTACAGCGCCTTCTCAGAGCTGGCATTTTTTTGTTCACCTGCCCCAAACCCCCTCCATGACTCTTAAACCCCTTTTGAGAGGCCAGCTCCCTGATCCTCTTTCCTTAACAAAACGGGTTTTGTGCTAATAATCCTTTCAAACACTCCCGCCAGTCCCACCTGCGCGTGCGCGGCGCCGTCGGCTGCGGCCTCTGCCACTGGATCGGCGACATCTGCTCCACGCTCAAACTAGACGGGTGGGTAAAAGAGCTCGACTCCAAGAACATGGAGATCGTCGCCTCAGGCCCCAGCACCGCCATCGACTGGCTCGTAGGGACGCTGTATCGGCATCCGCCCGACGCAAAAGTGTTCCAAGTGGTCGAGAGCCCGTACTACGAACCAATCGAGCAAGGGTTCACAGTGCACGAGATTGACGACTCGTGGGTTCAGGGGGGGCACGAGGAGATGCGCGGGACTGAAACGTTTGACGTGAGTTTTCGGGCGATAATCCGCCCAAAAGGGCGGACTTGACAATTCTCATGACATTATAGAAGTATCAGAGTCGATGATAAATGTGATTGAGATCTTCCCTGTACCAGTGCAAGCACAGGGATGTAAGCACAGCTAGGGGCCAGCCAGAAACGCTCGCTTCCATCGACGACAAGCATCACCTCCAGGTTTAGTTGTTGGGATCGTTGACGGTCCTCACGTTGGCTGCTCTCCCATCCTCGATTTGTTGCTCTGGTGGGAACATTTCGGAAGGGCTCGAGTCACAGCCCCGCCGCCTCGGCAACATTTGTTTTTGATAAGTAAGCAAATATCAATTCTTTCGTTGGGGTTCGTTTTCGAAGGTACCCCAAAGCAGGGAACGCCCTTTTAAATAGGGCAGCTTCTTCAGGTTGCAATCGGCGTTGTGTCAAACCACGCATTACCGGGTCGTGCAGTTTTTCGGCGAGGAAACGATGGCTGCCCTGTGGACGGTGATGTACGAGGAGCCCGACCGGTTGGCGCGCGAGGCCATCGAAGCAGAAGTGCGCGAGCGCGAGCGCGCGGAAGCTGAGGCCGAGGCCGAACTAGACCGGCGGCTGAACTCCCGCAACGAGGACGAGGAAGATCCGGATTTGGACTTGCTTTCGCGCGCGCTCGAGGACGAAGAGGATGGGTCGGGGCTCGATGACTTGAGTCCCCGGAGCTTCAGGAGGATCGAGGCGGAGCAGGCCCGGCGGGCGAGTGTGCAGAAGGGGGGCTTCTTCGGGCTGGATGACGATAGCGAGAGTGAGCTGCTCGGGGCCGGGGCGATGCGAGAGGAAGATCTGTACCGCGAGGGAGGGGAAGGGGAGACGGAGGATGACGACAGCACGCTCCAAATGCTGATTGACTCGATCGCGAAGACGAAGGGCGGGGCGAAGCGGGTGGGGGGAAGGGCTGGGGCGCGGTCGAGGGGATCCCCTTCGAGCGAGGCGGCGTCGGGCGCTCGCCGCGGGGGCACCGGTCGAGACGAGTTGGGAGAGGAGATGAGCGACGAGGACTTTTTGGCGTCGCTTGCGGAAGGGAAGCGAAGAGAGGCAGGGTTGACTGGGGGTTCCAACGGCACGGACGACTTTCCCACCTCCCCGAAAGGATTGGGCTCTGGTGCGGGGACGAATGTTGTGAGTGCAGACGGAGTTGTGGCGGCAGTACCCGAGCCGAAAGTTACCCGGGGTAGGGGCCGGCCGCGGAAGGTGAAAGTAGAGGCGGATGGGACGAGTCCGGTGGCGCTGACACCTGACGGCGCGGCTGCGCCAAAACCAAAGCGAGGACGGAGAAAGCAAGCTGCCGCAGAGAGCACGGATAAAGAGCCGACAGAGACTGCGGACTTTGGGTAGACGCTGCGAATGGAAGAGGGCCTGCTTGTGAACCGCACCTGTAACCTGAGATTTAAGTTCTCGGATTGCAAGTGATAAGGGCGTGAGTTGACATAATCACGTGTGTTGACGTCCACACAGCAAGTGCAAACAGCCGCTTATTGTACAACGTTCTGGTTTGTCATTGGCGGGTAATGTTTCAATCGGGCGCAATACTTATTGCAATTTCGTTTCTGGCGACACGTGACATGCAACAAGTCACGTCCGGCTGCGCATCAGTACATGTAAGACATCCAAAGATCCTGAGTTGGCCGGAGGCTAGCATGATAACTTGAACGGGTACGTGTAAGTTCTGGGCAGTGCGCCAAAACTGGAAGCGATACATTTATGCGGTCACGCGCCTACCAAAATGTGACATGACCAGTAATGTGCATGCATGACGAGCTGGTTGCGAAATAAGCGGCCTGGAGAATAATCGATAACGATTCTCGATCGAGAAAGTAGAAAACTCCAACCACTGAACATTCACATGCACGTACGCAATCCTGCATGATCGAGAATCACGTTGTCATGAAAAAACTCCAAATGATCATGCACGTTCCTTGGCTCGGAAGGTCTTGCTTGCATGTGCACCCACTAGCTTCCTACTGTAACAACCCGGAACTTTCTATCAAGTACTACTATATGCGTCTATCGATATACACCGCTCACAGCTGAACCGACTGAACTCTCTGCAACTCTCTGCAACTGAATAGCTGTCAAAGCATCATGTTCTGCACTGGAAGTGATCCGAGACTCAAGGACTGGTCTTCGTGCTAAGGAGCTGGGCTATTTCGTCACACGTTGCATTTGCAGTCTGAGTCCACTTCAGCACTTTGTTCGTCCCAGAATTTTGATAGTAAGGAAGAAAAGGGTCCTCTTCTTTGTAGTTATCTGGCACCACCGTCATCTTGCCGTCAGATATTTGGTGTGCTAGATCTGTGTACCCACTAAATCCCAGAATCATTATCTCGTTTGACGCCAAGTCCATCAAGTCCTGAAGGTCATTCCCTGAATCCACCAATCTGAACTCCCTCTCTAGACCCGACAGCATCGTCATGTTTGCAGACTCCATGTAAACCGTCAAGCTGGCCATCATGTTACACTCTTCTAGTCTGCTCAATAGCCTCTTGGCTAAAAGCATTGAAATAATGCGTGTCGGTTGTTGAGACAGAATGGACTCTTGCATATCTCCCCACCTCAAGTGCAACCCCACGGACCCCTTGGTGGTCTTGACACCCTCCGACTCACTCCCCAGCAGAACCTTCCTTGTCCACCGCCAGGTACATCTGCTGAACGCGTACGACACTTCCCACGGCCTATCGTCCAGTATGACGTGACAGCTTTCGTAGACGCGCAGGAGGGTCTTCCCCAGCTCGTCGTCCCTACTATCGCACCACGCTTCCAAGATCTTCTCGATCTCACCTGCCGGCAGGAGCATGGTGGCTCGACACACTGTGGGGTTGCTTGGCAGCTCCCAGCTGGAGTTGATGGCCCGGTTGATCAAGTCAGCGGGCGTATACCCATGGTCTGATTGTATTCCTGGAATGATCAGGCGTGCTTGCACCAGCTCTGCAAATACTGCGCTCCTTCTTGACTGGGCAAGTATGGACCCAAGACCTGCTGTGTTTGTCCCCTCCGTTCGGACTAACAGTCTCTTATGCACGTTTGAGCCAGCCTTCCCCTCTTCTTGTGAATCTTGTCCGTCCAGGTCTCTCTCGCTCTCGCTCTTCACACCTAGCTCACTCACTTCTAGGTTTCCCTGCTGCCCGTCACCTGCATATGAAAGGCCCCAGCTTGCCAACGCAGTGGCTTGGGGCTGTAATACAAATGCCAGGAGAAGCACCACAGACATAAGGAGCATCCCAACAAAAACCCAACGAGTGCGTCCTGGTGCAAAAATTCCGGCCAAGAGACTGGTCTGCTTATCATCTTCACCAGCTTCAAGGGACGTCATCGTTGCAACGTGATAAGCAAGCTTGGCAATCTCAAAGCTACTCCTTTTGGCTTGCCCTGGGTAATATCAGCAACTCGGACCCTCTGCTATCTTCTCGGACCACCTTTTTCTGGAATGGCGGCAACAGCTTGTAAGGGGCTTGTAAGTCATACTTGGACCTTCTAAGTTCTTGAATCCTGTTCAAAACCCCGACTGGAAGCGGAAATCTCGAGAGTTGTGTTCAAGGCTTCAAGCTAGATATCTGCTAATACATGTTGGGAGGGACTTCGCGTCCAGATATGTAGTCCTGACTCCTGATGTTGAGATCAGTGAAAGCTAGCTGCCAATTGTGACCTCCGACGGCGATGGGATCGGCTGCATGATGATCATGCTCCGCAAAACAAGAAAGGAGCGAGTTGGCTGTCTGACCATCCCATCATCAGGATTCGGGAAGGCGTTGAAGAGGTGCCACGGTACGTACCGAGATGGTTCAGCGACAATTCCGGGCCACTTGATTTCAGGCGCCCGCCCCGGACCAGTCACGGTGCTCCGACGGAGCCTGAAATCAAACTCAAGAAAACAAATAGTAAGCCGAGATAATGATAGTATGGAAAGCCTAGCACTGTGACTGGGTTAGTTTTGTGGTTAGGGTGGGTATGGGTGCGGAGCGGGTGCATTCTTAGGTTAGGGTTTTAGTGTTAGTTGGGCTGGAGCTTATTATTATTTTGGCTTTACTCGGTATTATCTTTCTTGAGTTTATCCGCCTGGAGGCGCCTTGATCCAGGTCGCTGCGACACGTGGACGCATTGTTGGAGGCGCCTCTCGTGTGCATATCATGATGACGAGTCGGCTCCATCCGATCTGGCCCCATGATCATGCAGCTGAGTGCACTGATCGGCGTGCAACGCGTCGAAACCTCGCGCACATCGTTCGACACTGGCACGACTCGGAGCCGTCACTGCAGCAAGGGGTACAAAGAAACCAAACATTTTTCGGAATTGTACGCATGTCGGCGCTCGTCCGATAGTGGTAGGTACCGCACAGGCTAGATTCAAGTACCGTTGCAAGCTATGGTACCCACCACAGCTCGGTCCCAGTACCGGGCCAGTTTGCTACCGGGGATCCTCCGACCAACACTAAAAACCTAAATGCCATGACCTAACCCTAACCAACACCCTAAGTCGTTCCGCCACAACCCACCCCAGCCCACCCTAACCCGCCAACCAACCCCACCAAAGTCACTCGGCTGTGGCCAATAAACAGTGCCCGGTTACATGTTGCGTCAACGAGCATTCAATTCCCAAAAATGTTTGGCTTCTTTGTCCGTTTTGCGTCACTGCACCATGGGCCAGGCAAACGGCAGCCGACGGAGTTGCGCGCGGCCAATCTCACTGCATGAGCGGCGTTGAACGAAAAGCCGACAGAATCGAGGTTTAATATATTTCAGGTTTTTGGCTGACGCAGGCCGACCGCTTCATAGGTCCAGCCCATTGACCGGAAATCCCAGCCGGCAAAATCGGAACTCCGTGTCGAACGGGGCAATGTCACATGTGCAAGCGCGTCTCAGACAGGGCGGCCGTCGTGATCATTTGCGGCCATTGAACGGCTAGTCACTGTTCAGCTTTCGGCGCCATTTCCGGCACATGTTGGTTCCGGTACCTAGGTACCTACTATACTATTTTTGACCGATCCAGAATCACAAGCATCATGCTGCGCAGGTGCGCACTGCGCAGTGCGCGCCATTGCATTATGCATGGCGACCGCAACGGACGGCTAGTAGTAGCTACTACAGTCTACAGTAATACTCATACTACCTACTACCCGTTCGACAAAGGTATGACTCGGACTAGGATAGAAAGAAATAGGTATGGTATATGCATTTGGAAATCTGGAAAATTGTGGTCCTATCAAACTCAGTCGGATTCTGCTTTTCCGAAATTTTGAACTTCAATTGCTATTTTTCGTTTGGAAATCAAAGGCAGCTAAGGCCGTATGAAGATCCAGTACGTACCTTTGAACGTTATGCATATCAGAATTCAGATACCTATATGTGTACCGGGGGTACCTCTCGGCAGCTCGGATTTGGGATCGGAAAGTCGCATTTGCTGTTAGACTATCGGCCCTAATTTTGGAAATTTGCAAGAATGGATGGCGGGCAGAGCGAGAACCTTATTTCGGATCGTGTTCGGATCTAAGAGTAGGTTGACACCGGCTGTCCAGAATCACGTTCAGACAAGACCGGAACTGGAACTGGTGAAAGTGAGGGGCCTGGCGTGCTCGGTAGATTGTCTCATATGGTCCGGAAGACCTAACATCCATGTCTTGGCTATAGCACACTAGTACTTATTAAGGCACACCACATTTGAATAGCAGCATCAGAAGGGCCTGGCCGGCGTGAATAAGTAAGGCCGGCTGTATGCGGTTAGGTACACTCGCTCGAGTTGCCCTGTATTCGCACATAGCGCGCATTTGGCAGTTCTGCTTTGTCTTCGGGCAGAGTCAGTCAGGACACCCTGTGATTACTTTGCGCGTCCGGAATCGAGAACTGCCGAAATCAGGCCCGATCCTCCCAATGATCATGACCGGTCGGACTCATGAGTACCACCACCCAGGCCTTATTGAAGTCATGCACGAGGTGCGGCCCGGAAGCGTTCAGTCCGGGAAGTTCTATAACGAAAGGCTTGATATGTTGACTCTAATACTTCACATGTTGGTTAAGAATGAAACATGCGCGTACATGGTGTCACAATTGCGCGCTGCGGACCATCTGCATGCTAATGCATAAACACAAAGGCCCTAAACAAAGTTTGAGGTGCAAGCTCACATGACACAATTAAGATGGTCTATCCAATGTAAGTAGCGGTTTTAATACATATACGAACATGTGTATGCGCGCCATGCATTACAAAGTCCTGCATCATCGACTTTAGAAGTTGAGTCCGCAGCTCTCTATACAGCATGCAGGCTGGCAGAGTATACGAGCTGCAGTGAGAAGCTAAACCAATTAGCTATCATGGCACCCGGCTCATGAATGACAGGCGAGTCACTCAAAGCTCAAAAGCAAACATGAGCAAACGATCGTTGGAAAGTCTCCAAGATCGACCTCTTACATTGAGAGTCCACGTGGAAACAGGTCAATATGCAGCAATCGTGAATGAACCTAGCTGACTATTAGTACCGCCTTTATTTGTGGTAACAATTGGTTGGCAATCACAAACCTACACTCCTAGCAAATCCTTGATGAAATCCAGGTTAAGGGTGTCCTTCACTGTCAAGAACAAGCCTAACGACAACAGCAGCAGCAAACCGGACGCCATAATCCGCTGCTCTAGACCTTCCGGTAGCTTCTTCCCGCCTCGGATACCCTCGACAACTAGGAGGGCGAGGTATCCGCCATCCAGCGCCGGCAACGGCAAGAGGTTGACAATCGCAAGGTTGATGTTGATGAGGGCCGCAAATTGGAACAGACCAGTGACGTCATTCCTTGCGACGTCAGCCCCAAGCTGCAGAGGTCAGCACGACTTCACTTCAGTGACAAGGATCCTTCGCAGAGTAAGTGCGCATGGCCGCATCAGGACGTCTGTAAAAGCCTTGCATCTTTTGCTATGTTAGATGACCAGGCCCTCAGCTTGTTGGCGCATTTCTTGGTGAAAGTGAGAGGCCAATGCGTCCCGCTCATGACACGCATGTTACCTGTTCGCTTAACGGCAGCCTAACGAAAGACTTCTCACCGAGCGAGATCACCTTGCGCAATCAATAACTTCCGGACAAGTATACTGCCGCACAGAACGAGCGAGCAGGACAGTCTTTATTTCCAAAACTGTTACCCAACTCTGAGACCGCTGAGCATTCGGATGACGCGTTGAAGGGACAGGTTACAGTAGGAACGTCATGCTTTGGACTCCTTACGATCCCGACGAATCCAACATGCTGCTACTTTCGACGCGTCCAGACTGAAGGATTCACTCACCGCAACAATCGCCACTGGGCCCGATAGCTTATCTGCCGTTCCGCCAAAGTTGAAGAAGATCTGGCGCAGCCCGTCCAGCACGATGCCGGTCAGCCGCCGCCACTCGGACGACGCGAGCTCCACGGCGCGCCACGTGTTCCGAACCACTTTCCGCTCAATCTCGTCGTTCGCGCGCAGACTAACCCCAATCCGGCTGCAGGACAGCAGATTTTGATACTTTGTAAAAAAGAACAGAAAAAGCGACTTCGATGCGGCCACCAGATATGAAGGACGATAAGGCTGCAGCAGCAGGAGGGGACCCAGAACTGTTCCGGAACTTCCCAAGGAGAATGCTGCGACCCACCGCCTAGATCGTGTGTACGAAAAAAGATTCGAGATAACAAGCGTGGGCCACAGCTGCTTGCTTTGCAGCTTCTGAATGTCACGCAGAAAGTAGAGTCCTGAATGTGATGGCAAACGAAGTGCACAACAAAATGAAGGCACGAAGCACAAGTTTCGGGCTGATTGCAGCGGTTGACTATACGACAGGCTTGCGTTAGATCGCTTATGAAGCAGTAGGGCCGAAATCTTTTTTAAATCCATGCTTTTGGACACAGCCAGTGTAAAGAGCGCGTCAGATCCCAAGATACACTCGTGCATCTGAGTCGTAACAGAAGAAGTCATCCGAAGGCCCATACCACCTCTGAATGGTTGCCTTCAGCGACCAGATTAGCCCCGTGGAAAAGGGTCTGGTCGCCGGAGAGGAAACCGGGTCCCCCAACGCACATTTCCAAGCCAAGTAACCGGAAACTACAGAAAAGTCAGAGAAAAAGGTCGCATACCTCATGCAAAGTCAAAGACGAGAGATTATGAGCTCCAAAACGGATTCCCCGTCGCCACCAGCCCGAGCCCATCCACCCGTTCACCCAAATAAAGAAACTGCCTGTTCAGGCTGCTTTGAATTAACAGCACTCTCTCTCGAATTTCTACAAGTGTTGCAACATTTCGTAAAGCTTCCAAACATCACCTCCAAACATAGCTCAAACAGCGTTGAGGGAACTCAGACCACGGCTCGTTTTGCAACTTACCCTGCTCCGTCAATGTCCCGCTCCGCCTTCACGCGCACGCCCATCTTCTCTCCCCCCCTCTCAATCTCCAGCAGAATATCCTTCTCCGGCCGGCGCTTGATTGCTTCCACCAACTCTGACGTACTTCCGGAACCCCCCTCGAGCTTCTGCTCGTCGATGCTCAGGATGACGTCACCCCGAAGGACCCCTCCCCGAAGCGCTGAGGAGTTTTCCATGACTTGGCCGACAACCACTCCTGGGAGGAAGTGCTGTTCTGTGTAGCCAACTGTTTGTACCTGGATTTGAAGTTAGAAAGAGAGGGTTGTGAGCCTTGCTGTTGATGTGCTGAAGGGTAAACTAGTGGCATGAGAGTGACACCATCAGTGCCTACAAAAGTTTGTGAAGATTGAGAGAGGGAGATTAAGAGAAAGGACAGACATCAACCTGGCTGAATTGCAGGAAAACAAGCAACAAAGAGCACAGTCGATTTGAATGTTGCTGATCCAGAAATCTAACACGAGAAGAGCATCGAGAAGTGCGAAGGGCATGAAACCTTGCAAAGAACAGGACACCTCAACAAACTTGAACCTCACAAAGTGGAGGGCAAAAGAGGTAGAACGGAGACAAGGTTACCTGAGTAAAGAGGACGGCGAATGCAAGAATCCCATTCGCGATAACCCCGGCGGAAATCACCAGCGCGCGCTCGTGCAGGGGCCGGTTCTTCAGCAACCGGGGGTCATCCTGAGCAAACGTTGTCCCGGGATCCTCGTCAGGGAACGCAACATAGCCCCCCAGGGGAAGCGCTTTCAGCTTGTAGTCCACCTCTTTGCCCTTCCACTCTGCTAGCGTCGGTCCAAACCCGATCACAAACTGACTGACTGGAATGTTTTGCAAGCGCGCCGCCAAAAAGTGACCGCACTCATGAAAAGTGACTATAGCCCCTAGGACGATCAGCGCCTGCGCGACGCTTGCTGGGCCGTCAAAGTTTAACCCTGCGAACACGGCGGGGAGGGCGGGGAGAGCGGAGATGCCGAGAAGAGCGGTTTTTTGCCATAGAGGAAGGGCTTTTAGCTTTGGGAGGAGCTGCGTGACAGGGGTGGGGTCAATGCTCGATGGTTCTGCGGGGAGTTCTGGAGCAGAGAAAAGGTCGACAGGTAGCCGTTCAGACTCTGATTCAACTGCTTCTGCATGTTCTCGTTGTTGACGAGGCTCGACAGCCTTCCGTTCCGCACATGCCCTTAATGATCGCCTCCCTTTGACCGACACACTTTCTAAACTGCTAGACAACTTCCCAAAACCCCTGTCTGTTCTCTGGGGCTGGAGAAAACAAGGGGTGTCATTCCCTTGGCCGTTATGAGCACGACTCCTCCCCCTCAGCGAAGGCCGGGCCCCAACCGCGCCTCGTTTTAGGTTAGTAGCGGGAGAGGTGAGGAAAGGGCTGTGCACACCAGAACTTGCTTGACAGCATTGTGTGCTGATGTTGAGAGGTAGCAAAGAACCAAGTCTCGCACTGAGAGCAGGTGCGGCCTGCGACATTGTCCCTTCCTCTCTTCTTCTCTTCAAAGTCCTTGTCTGTACTCGCTTTGCCAACGGCTTTCGATTGGCCAAGGGTTCGGCTTCAAGCACGTGGCTGATTTGTTTTCCTCTCCCTGCCTTGTCTCTTCTTCCCTTTTTCCTCGCTTTTCTAGGATAAAGATTTCGAGATTGAGGAGCTGCTCAGAGTTTTCTGAAATGCTTTCTGTCTTTTTGTCTGAACACTGAGCACAAGGATTCCGCCTTTTACCTTCCAAAGCCGTATCTGAAGCAAAGAGAGCGAAGCTACTGTATGCGGGTGATTGGTTCCTCAAGGTGCTTCTCAAGACAGCACCTTCACCTTTCTGGCATCCAACAATTGCAGCGCGCCCCCTCCCTCTCTTTTCCTCTCTGTCTCTCTCTGTCTCGCTCTCTCACTCTCTCTCCAAGTAGCTCTTATCTCTCGCCCTCAGTTTTCAAGCAGGAGTTGTAGACTGACTGCCCCCAAATTAAGATGGTCACAATATGGACACTGTCAGTCAAATTGGATGGTTAAGATGCCATCTGCAAGCAATCCAACGGCATAAACTCAGACGCAGAGGACCATGGAAAGGCCCCTAAAAACTGATACGTTACTGGATAACCTGGGTTAAAGGGTAAATCCAGGCGCTTGACCCTGGCCTTGCTCCAGCACAAAGCACAACCCATCCCCCTGCCAGTAGTAGGATCCTAGGCCTTGAAGTTGAAGTTGCATTGCCAATGCCAGTGGGCATGAGCCAAGCCGATCTTCTTCCAAGCTACAGCAGAGTGACATTCTCGAAAGCACAGCTTTGCAGCCGAAGCGCAACCTCCACCGCTAGCATGGCGCGCTGCTTTGCGGGCGCCAAGTGCGAGCTGGCCTCCGTCGCTAGATCTCTAGCAAAGCAGACGAGACGGAGCCTCGACTGCAATGCTGCCGCTGCTCCAATCCCATTCAGCTCGCCAATCCCTTCTCATCATCGGTCGAAGTTGCATTTGCAATCGGAAGCCCCTTGCTTGCTTCTCCAAAGAGGTGTTGCTGCTGGACACTTCAATCGCACAAGCCTTGGCAACCTCTCTTCGTCAGGAGTTAAGCTTGGACAGAGTGTCGAGGAGAGGAAATGGAATCTTGTGAGTGCGAGCATGCAGGCTTCTGTGCAGACGGCAGCCAAGGTCGGGGCGCGCGAGAGTGGCTCTGTTCCCTTGGAGAAACTAGTGGAGGTTGTGACCAATGCAGCCAAGACTGGAGCAGCAGTGAGTGTCTGTGGGAAGTGCAAAGCTGTCTCCTCGTTTTCCAAACGTCGCGGAACGTAATTGGCAGGCCTTGTGCTGAATTGTATTCCGGAGTCGCACTTGTGGTTTGGATCAAATTGAAAAGTTTTGTTTTTCACAGTTAATTGAGTCAGTGAAGAGCGCCAACATTGGAAGGGATGTTTCAAGGGGACATAAAGCAGGGTGCCCAGATTTAGCTTGACTTTTACTGAGGCAGACTGGTACGCTTTGCGACGTTCTCGCCTTCAGAAATCAGAGGGTCGGGATCTGCCGCTGTGATTTTTGATGGCGCCACATGTTGGATCTACTGCAATGTCCGTAAGTTGTGCTGCAGTTGCCCCTTGGATAGTCTGTAGCAATTACGAAAGTTGGGAGTGTTGAAACATCGCAAACATTGCTTCGTGCATAAAGATCAGCTTTCCCCGGTTCAGACGCGTTCGTTTTAGTATATGTGCCCTTCTACGAGGTGTTTGACCAAGGTGTCTCATTCTTTGTTTGAGTTTCGCAGTGGTGACACTTACCTGGTATAAGTGTTCACCTGCAACCCCCCTCATCGTTTTAAAAAGGATCACGTGGTCTTACCCCAGTGGATCTCTACTAGGGTGAATGAATGCAAGAGGGAGAAAGGTTGTAGACCTGGAAACTGCTTTAAGCTCGGTACAGAAGGGAAAACGGGTACGAAGAAATCAACGTGCTTGCTGTGCAGGTGGTTATGGACCGAGTAGACAAACCAAGGACGGTGGACTTCAAGGGCGCAACTGACTTGGTCACAGAGTGAGACTCCTCACTACGGCCAGCTTGCCAAGAGTTTCCGTAACTTTGGCATACCACATAGGGGCTTAACAGGGCCTTGAAGTTGGATTCACAATAGAATCGATTGGGAAAACCATTCTGACCCGCCCTACCACTGGCATGAATGACCCAGAATTCTCGGGTAATAAAGGAGCGACATGTACAAAATCGGGAGTGTCGGTCATGCAGATAAATTGTTGCCCAGAGCCCTTCTTGTTCCGCTGGCTTCTCCTGTCCGGTTCTATTTGACTTATACAGCTTTCGGAGGGTTAGAGATTCACATCTGCTTCTAGGATAGGTTCGGAAGAGCAGTGTTAATTCGTGATGGCTGTTAGGGAGCCAAAGTGCCAAAAGATGCGAAACTTGAATTCGCTGAGTGAGGACATTAGGCGTTCAGAATCCGGTCGGGATCATGATCACCTGCCAGATGCATTGTTGACAATTTCCAATGCAAGTGGTTCTAAGATCGACTTTGGAGGAACGGACGAGAATTTACCCAGATATTTTCGGTGAGAAACCGCGGCTGAACAAGCCATCAGACGCACCTAGTTGGCTTAATCACACAGTCTCGAGCCTCAGAGTAGACCCTCGAGGTAGTGGACAAGGAAGCTTTACCAACCGTTTAAGGAACGACTCTCCTAGCAGCCCTCTAGGGCGACTGTCACTGAACAAGCCTCTGAACGCACTGCTTTTCTTCTCAGCACAGACAAGGCCACAGAGGAGGCAATCTTGGAGGTGATCAAGGAAGCATTCCCGGACCACTTGGTGCTTGGAGAGGAGGGCGGAGTCAGCGGCGGCCCCAACAGCGACTACCTCTGGTGCATAGACCCCCTTGGTGAGTCGTTTCCGCAAGTCTTCAGTGCTTTTGACAAAGGCAAGCGAAGTTCAAAAGGCCGCCCGAATAGCAGGCTAAGGAGAAGCTTTGAAAACTGCTCAAGCTTAGCGTCTCTGGTCAGATCATTCGGTCCATGGCGAGCTGCGAAGGGATCTGGCGGATCGTCGTTCTCTGATCATAATGTCTCGGCCTGAATCCTGCGCTTCGAGATTGCTGAATCGGGAGACCCTAGCCGGCGGCCTCAATCAAGGCCATCGCTTAGGCCGAAAGTTGTTCTTTCCGCGTCCAAGTGCTAAGTCTTACGCTCCAATGAGAGCCTGGTTCGGGGTCTGCGCTTGTTGTGACATTGGGGGAACGGATTCGGGTCTTGTGTGTATATATTGAATTTATTTGTGAACAGCCCCTGGAGTACTGGTGTGAGCAGACCCTCGAATCTCCTTCCAGAATTATCTGTGTGATCAAAGCCCTGCAAACGTTTTACAGATGGGACGACGAACTTCGCGCACAGCTACCCTTGCTTCGCGGTCTCTGTAGCGGTCCTCTGGAAAGGGAGGCCGATCGCCGGCTCTGTGGTGAGCTTCGCCAGTATTTGTTTTCAAACCGCAAACGAGTCATCCTGTGGAAGGTACGAAAGGCCAGGACTCCCTAGTCTCCCCCTAGCTGTCCAGTCCTTTATACGGTGGGGAAGAAGACTATGATTTTCAGCCGCTTTCGTTCTGTGCCAGCTTCTGGCGTATGTAAGCAACGCGTCTCAACGGCACGTGCTGTTACATAATTGTAACAGGAAATTCGAAATGTCTGCTTAACCGGATCTTGCTGGATCTTGCGGCTCAATGTTGATCTAGATTGCTCCTTCGAGGTGATTGGTGCAATCTTGTTGTGTCGTTTGCTTCGCCAATTCGCATTGAAATTCGCAACAGGCAACCAGCGGACGTGTTCTTTTTGCGTAGAAATCCGAAGTCCTCGACTTCTCAGTGAATAATTCTGACAGCCCCGTCTTTGAGAAAAGTTATATCTGAGCAAGAGCGCAACATCGTAAAGTCAAGAATGCTTTCCTTGCTCCACCCACCAATGCCGCTTTGAAAACGTTGGACTAGATGAAGTGAATCGCAAGCAGCTCTTAACATGCGAGCCTGAGCTGCAGGTTGAGTTTGCTGGCGGCCCTTTCTGTTGGGTGACGAGGACGTTCTCAGCAACGGCGGGCGGAGGGGCCTTCTGCGAGGGCCAGAGAATACACGTCAGCGACACGGAATCCGTAAGTGGCGCGCTGGTTCGCAGATTATCAACAAGTGCACTGTCTGCAAATGCTGAATGCCGGTTCAATGTTTGAAAATGATCTAGGGCTTTCCGAAAGGAAGGAGTGCGTGGCCTGCATCGTAAGCGCAGGGTGACGGCAATTTTTGAACAGCTTTAAAAGTTCTGAATACAAGTATTTCGGCATCCCCAATTGCTCTGGGCTCAAAGGAGAAATAGCTTGCCTGATTCCTGGATTCTGGTAGAAAAGGTAGTCCGACCGACATCGAGCATGGTGACTTCAGGCATGCCGTCTAGTTGCTCTTGAAGAGCTTTTCGTCGCAATCGGACGCCGAATCATCTGATGTCGTGTGCACTGCATCAGATGCCATTTGAAACGAAGTCGGAGTCTTGGCCTTGCCAAGCCACCCTGGGTGCAACTTAGATATCTACCCGTTCATACCAAACGGGGCACCAGACGCTTTTCCCCGCAAACCGAATGGCTTATCAGGCTGCTTCAATTGCATCGACAACCAAAGAGAACCCGCTATTTGAGCGCATTATCCAGTTTCGGCGCCTGGCACTACAAGGTCGTTTATGACCGCAATCCTTGTTGTTACGTCACAAAAGCCCTGGGTGACGTCACTCACCCCGGGTTTTTCGCTCGCAGGTCCAGCGCTCCCTCCTCGTCACCGGCTTCGGCTACGAGCACGACGATGCCTGGGCCACCAACATCGAGCTGTTCAAACACTTTACTGACGTCACCAGAGTGAGTTTCGTTGCGCTTCGTGACGTCATCGGGGTAATCCCCAGACCCGCAGTGAACTTATTAGGGCGCCTCTCTCCAGCTTGCTTTCTCTCCGAGCGTTCATTATGCCAGCACCGTCAGCAGGGTGCGTTTGCCAGCATTCCGTTGACGTCAGCAGGGTAATCTGTCAAGTAATCTGATCTTCGCACTGAGCTAGATCGTCAGAGGGCTGAGCGGCTGTCGCTGTCGCCTTTTGCGAATCGCAGGCACGAGAGCGGGGTGACAATTTCTTTGCAGCAAAACTCTCGAAGCGACGAGATTCGCTTCTGAGTGCTTCAGGCGCTGTCAAATTGGTTCTCGTTGATTGATCCAACTATTCTGATCTTTTCTGGTGTCTGTGTTGGTTCTGCTGCGTGACTCCGGTTCGCAATAAAACGTCGAAGTCATTGCGATCCGACTTTCTGCACAGTCTAGTGTGCATTTGAGGATATTGATGTATGTGTGACGTGGCCATAGCCACGTGTTTCACAGCAGAGTGCTTGCTCGATCGGCGTATTAGGGCGTTTGGGCAATCCAATGGCTGAAACCCCACCTTTGGCACGTAACATCTACAACGACGACAAGCTGTCCCGGTTGACTTTGCTGACTCGAGCACGAGTAGGTTTACGAAAGGCACCAAATTTCCGCCGTCTGTCCGTTCTTCAGTGTCTGCTGACTCGTCTGACATTTTGTGCGCCTTTGCTGGTCAGGGGGTGCGCCGGCTGGGAGCAGCCGCCGTCGATCTTTGCCATGTGGCACTCGGCCTGGTGGACGCCTACTGGGAGTACCGTCTGAAGCCTTGGGATGTGGCAGCCGGCGTGTTGGTGAGCCTTGCTCATACGGGCGACCCTTGCATTAATTGAGAGGAGCGTTCACTGAGAAACCGGAGCACCGGGCACCTCAACTAAAACCCTTAATGTAAAACATCACGCGCTCCGCACCCGCACCCACCCGCGCCCCCTAAGTAAACCCACGCATCCGTTGGTGCTATTTCTAGTGAACGTACCCCCTAGTGAACGCAAACGGTTGCCAAAGTGCCTTGCTCGGATTCTGGTACCTTGACAACATGTAAGACTCTGTTCTTTAGACTGCCTTGGAGCGTACAATCTATGGCATCGATTGATCGGCTCAGATTTAATCCGTGACGATCCAGGGAGGGTCTGGACTGGGCGTGCTTCGACGTTTCGTGCTCTTCCGTCCTGACTAGAATGCCTCTTCGTGAGCGGCAGCCCCAGCTCAGCTGCGAAATCAGCATGCGCCTGTTTCCTTAAATTGCCTGTTTCTTCAAACTCTGAGCGTCTGCTCGTGAAGGCCCAAGTTCCAAAGTTGGGCCCCTTCCGTTGACAATCTTATATAATTTTGGCCCTGTTCACACTGTTAAGTCTTGCTTGAAAGACAGCACATTTGGCATTATGAAAGACGAAGGTCATTTCATTGTGCACATTTTGCTTGACTGATTCGACGTGGAAGTTGCGTAAGAGGACTTCTACACGTCGTGAACAATAAAATGGGGAGAATTTCGAAAGTTCATCGGGCCTAGATTGCCGTACACTGGTGAATGTAGCGTGAACGCCAGGAAGTGCTGCGGACTTCATATGGAAATGACGTCTGTCGACGGTTTCAATATAAGCACAGTGTCATTAGATCGCAGGCCGTAATCGGCTCGAAATAACTTTGTTCTGGTCAATGTTTCGTCACCCGAGCGCTTGTGTCATCGGGTTTGTGCAGATTGCTGAGGAGGCAGGCGCCCTAGTCACGAGAATGGATGGCAAGGACTTCACTGTTTTCGATCGCTCCGTGATCGCCTCCAACGGCAAAATACATCCGCAAGTGAGTTTTCTGGTCAGCTGTGTGACCTGCGCCGATCGATTGCCTTCCGCATTCTCTTCTCAAAGCGCGTGACTTATTTGGAACGGGCATCGTGCACTCACGAAGCAGTATTGAGTGCCTCAATCCGGGAACGGTCGGCATTTATCATGTTACGACCATTGTAAAGCGTCGCAACGAGGAGCTTCTGCGTCGTTCGTTGGTTCGGCCCACCCTAGTTCTCCGACAAGCCCACACTGAAAGCTGCGTACTTGGTGTGCAGCTTCTGGACGTCATCAGACCAGCAACCCAAAAGCTTCTAGATTCGGGAAAGTTCGTCGACGACCTGTGGTTCAAGCCGGATGGTTACCAACTAAAATGAGCTGCCGTAGAGCAGCGCTTTCTTCGCAACTAGAGGGAGGCGTTTCGACAGTCAAGAATGACTATCTGGATATCCGGCTCTAGGATTATGCTACTTGAGGTTGTGAGTCCCCGGAGCTTCATTTCAACCACCATCCTGGAGTGTATGACGATGACCGAATCAACAAAAGATCGATCTTTGTTGCTACGGAACCAAAAGAGAGTGGCTTACCTGACCAGGCTCTAATGTGGCTAAGGGCGTCATAGGATGAGAAACTACCATTAGGTGAGAAGTTTCGTTTAGCAAAAGTCGTACTGATGATGTTACAGCTAGGTTGCGTGCCATGCTTTCTACTTTATTCTTAAAGTTGCCACTTCCTAAGAAAGGTGTACGTGTATCAGTCCATTCGAATGTTCAATTGCATGCAATGGGCCTCATAGCTCGACGGCGAGTTTCTTTAGACTTCTGAGTGGGCGGCGGACCCATGACACATGTTTATATCGCTGTACAGACGCCAAGCTAGCCCGGCCGAAGCCGCGGGTGGCTGCTAGACAGGCTCCGGTTCTTTGGCAGTATCATCAATTGTGATCCTCGGACATGCCGCCAGTAGGATTGGCAACGGTTGTGGCAAGTGCGACAGACAGCAATGATCATACTGCGCGCATATGTAGATGCATTGAACATATGTATACGGTACGGTCTTCTAGTGACGAATGCACCGCATACGAACTTGCGCGAGCAAAGCTGCTCGATTGCGTTATGCAGTAATCTTATTCTTGCTTGCATAGTCGAGCATGACTGCCAGGGTCTCTAAATCAAGGCGCCTCCCACGCCGCTACTACAGAGTAGCTTGCACGATTCGTACTGCAATCTACCGTAGCACTCTGGCTAGGGGTGTCCGCGGCCGCGGAAAGTCGTGAGGGGAGGAGCCGCGGCCGCGCTGCCGGCCTAGACGCTGTGGTTTCTTCTGATCTGCTGACAGTCTGCTGCCTGCAACAAGGCGCTCAAGAGAAAGCTGCTATGACTCATGCCTTTCACATTTCCGTAGCTAGACAGACGGCTTCTCCAAGCTCTCTAGACCCCAAGGATTCGAAATTTTGTCTGACCTGCTTTTGGTGCTTGTAAAAAATGGCCTCAGAGAGCGGAGCCACAGCAGTTGTCCTGGACCCCAAAAGTGATATGCAAAGTTCAGTCCCCAAGCTCGGTGCCAATTCTTCACTCTCCGAAGAAGGGCTGGAGCTTAATGATGGAACTGGAGAAGGGGAAGAGTCTGTTCAGCCAAATGTAGATCAGGGAGTTGCGGTGCCGGCAGGCCCAGCGAGGCCCGCCGATGATGAGATCTTGTTGCAGGAGAATAGCATCAAGGCCGAAGAAGCAGGGAAGATGGAGTTCATAGGAGACAAGGTGACTCCATGCTGCTCAATTGGGACGCAGTGATCAATGCTGTCATACAATCTGCGAACCTGCCAGGCTTCTCCTCTTTTGAATTTGCAGATTGCAGCTCTGCTCTCTTGTCTGTATTGAGATCAAAGTTGCGGCACAAATGCGGCGCAAGAGACACGGTGGCTGTTGGATCTGTAATGCTGAAACTAGCGCGCCACCATTGATTTGAACGTTATTGCCCCGCCAGGAGCCCCTATCAGCGTTAGCTGCTGAGTACGAGCGGGGGAATGAAGTTTTCAAAGCAAAGATTCAGGTGAGCACAAAGTGTTTGCCCCCATACGAATTGTGAGATTTTTCGTTTGTCACACCTATGGTGTCAAATCATGCCTCTTCTTGTGAGTTGAGAGGTTGCTTTCTTTTCATCAAAGAGAACCATACTCCACGGCAATTGCTCTTGCTTTGTAGTTGGACAAGACTGGCCAGGTTGCTTCTGGCAACTCTGCACTCATTCGTCAGGGAATTTTTGTTTGCTAACCTGTTGAACAACTGCGGACATATGCAGAAACTGGGAGAAACATATGGTTCTATCCGAAGAACGAGGGGCGATGGGAACTGTTTCTTCCGGGGGTTTATGTTTGCATACCTGGTAAGGGGCCACAACTACCTTCTTTCCTTTTGACTGGATCCTGGATTTCAAGACCCCCACAGATCGATGGGTGCACCATCTGTGTTGACCATGTTCCCACGACATTGCATGCTTAGAAGTATGCCTATTATGCCCCTGAGGTCATGTGATGCATGAAGAGTTCCAACTGCAGGTTACTTTGCGGTGAGGAATCCACCGGGTGCTGCCTGACGCCACGTTACACTCCGCACCGCTTAGATCCTCTTTTTCCTGAAATTCTTCTCGTGTCAGGGATGTCTCAATGTAAGGGTACATTATAAAATATGTCCCTGATGAAAGGGATATGTTCATCTGAGGCAGTATCGTTCGCATTAATTTTCTGTGCTGAAACACCAAGATTCATTGATGTGTAGGAACGGCTCCTCCACTCCCAGGACAAGACGGAGCTACCTCGCATGCGCGACCGCATCGAAAGATGCAAGCAAGAGTTGATTGCGATCGGATACACACCGTTTACCTTTGAAGACTTTCTGGAGGTAAGCTCCATCGCCTGCCGCTTCCTGCCTGAAGCGGCCGAAAGTCTCTGTTGTACAGCAGGATACAACGATCAAGTAGACATTCGTTATTTCAGATTAGCATATACCAACCGATACAAGGTCACTGGTCGAAGTTAATCGTATATCGACTCTATAAAGGAGAGGCTGGTTGAAAGATTCGAGCGTTTCGTCTGCCTCCAAGTAGCATTAAACTGTGGGGACAGATCTGACGCAGACAACATTTTTTACCGTTGAAGGCCTCTCTCATTGCAATATCACTGATTGTAGATTTGCATGTCTGAAAGTCTGCTGTTGATTATGGTGTTGCATTCATTTCTTGTCCACCGAGTGGCTTGATTGGCTGACCGAGAAATCGCTTCAGCTGTTGTCGACGTCGTTTGTCTAGATCCGACCTCGAGATGCAGCTTATGCTCAAGTTGTTTATCTCTCGCTCCTTCCGCCTGCGAACCCTTTTTCCTAGCTGAAAAGGCGCACCTTTACACCGTTGTCGCTTTCCTTCTGCCCGCAAACACGTTTTGGACGAGTAGCGAGATGGAAAGTCTGGGGTGGCCAAATCGGTCTTGAAACGTGGCACTTTGCTCGCAGATCTTCATGGACCAATTAGAGAGCGTCTTGCCGGAAGAGGGCCAGCCTATCTCTCTGTCGGAACTGGAGGTGCGGTGCCGAGATCCAAACGTGTCGAACTGGGGTGAGCCTTCTGCCGTGCATTGAGCATCCAGAATATGACGTCACAACGAGACTCGATGACGTGGCATGCGAGCGAAGCATACTGTCGGCCATGCCGTCATAAAACGTTGTTTGGCAAATTCCTGCGCGATGAAACCAATGCCTGATAGGCGGTTCCCTGTGTATTCTCTCGACCTCGGATGTCAAGATGGATCTCGTAAACACAAACTTGGGCCTGAGTAAGTCAAACAATAGGGCCACAAATCGCAGAACATTGAGCGAATGTAAACAACAGGTGACAGATATATCATGAGCCGTCCTCGTGCTCGTCCGCCTCTTTGCAACGCTTGCGCGTTGCGGGATGCCGAAGCCCCATTTCTTGGGATAGACTTTCAATAGCGTCCTGTGTGAGGTCGTCGACTGCCGGGAGTAACTGTTGGTCCGCTTGGTCTGGCAGACGAGCAGAATTCTGACGATCGGTCCATGAAGTTGTCTTTCTTAGGGGCCAGAGCGCTGGAATCTCGGATCTTTTGCAATCGCCGTCTGCCATTGCCCTTATTATAGCTCGCACTCGTGCAGCGGTGATGTTCTTCCGGTTTGTAACGTCAGCGGAGGTGCAGCGACGAGCAGAGTTTTTCGAGCCCTTCATCCTTGGTTTGACGAACCTAGACGTCAAAAAGGTGAGCTTGGGGTATACCCTCTGACTGAAAGTTGAGTGTTGCCCAGCTGTATCAAATAGTTTCCCGACAGTCTTGAGCGATATGTCCCAATGCTTCATCGGTAAGATGGGCGGCGACGAGATTGTTTGCTCTCGCATCTAATATCCTTTTCTAGGCATCTGTCGTTCTTTCGCGTAGCAACGAAGATTGCAAAACTCCCGTTCGGAATCTCACGTCAGCAATCGCATCTTTTGACGTTTCCCACACCTGAGACTCTATGACTTTTGCTAGTATGGACCCCGTTTCAAAGATTCTGCAGGCACGCAAGATAAGGGCGAACTCTTGCGAAACCGTCAATAACGGTGTAGCGACCCCTTGCTGTACCGTCCCAACCAGAATCTGACGGTCGCTTTGTTTGCAGTTTTGCCAAACGTCAGTCGAACCGATGGGAGAGGAGAGCGACCATGTCCACATCACCGCACTCACAGACGCGCTCGGCATTCCCGTACGAATAGTCTATCTAGACAGAAGCGGGGGGGCTTCGGATGATGCACTGGAAATCAACCATCACGACTTTGTCCCAGAGTCTGCTCCCGAATCCTTCAAGCCCGATACATCTGGTCTGCTAACGCTCTTGTATAGACCTGGCCACTACGATATTCTTTACAGTCTGTAAATATGAACAGCCTGAGTTACTGCCGCGTCGAAGTTGCTTCGCATTCTGCGCTGTCACCAGTCTCGTGTGATTATTGCTCGCCTGAAGACCTATTTGTGGTCACCAGCGAGCGTCAATGTTCCTGGTCGCAAATTTGCTGGGTACTCACGAACATGCGGCATCCATTTTTTGGATCATGCTTGATCTATAGGGCCCGGGCCGGGGGCCTAATAAGCTTCCAGGCACACGCGCTTTTACGTGGTGGAGCCTCTAGCACAGCTCTATATTGGAGGTCCTCCTGCAAGTGGTCACCATAGGGGTATTCCGCAGTCTTCAACCTACATTACTTGCTCTCGATGCGCAGAACCGTCGCGGATGAATGTGGCCGGTCACAATCCGACTTGCATGACGCCGACGTCTGCATTTGCATGCGCAGCGACTCGACTTAGCTCTAAGTGGAAATTGATCCTACATGCGGCGCATGGCGTGACGCAATAAGCTCGTATATGAAGGTGCTGATTGCAGGCGCGCTAGCTGCAGTGCGTGGACTTAGTTTGGGTTTCATTAATTAGCCAACTCCTGAGACTGAGACATGCAATGAGTCAGGCCGCGCGCAGCGATGTCGAGCATGTTGGTGTTGGATGCACTCGCTGTGCGTCCTAACTTAAGCGTGCACTTATGCTGCAGTCAGAATTACAACAGTGACTTCTATATTGCCTTGATTCGCTGTTCTTGAAGTGGTGTCGAGCAGCTTGTATAAGTTTCGAACTCAACTTGGTAGGTTGAGAAGTATGCAGCGCAAGCTGCTACAAAAGAAACAAGTGCGGCTCAAAGTCTGGGCATGCAGTGCAGGAACCGTCGCCTAGCTTCACTTCAGCATGACTCCTGATAAGATACTAGCGTCAATTCTAGGCTTGGTGCGGTCTTACGCATGCGCATGACGCACAGCCATGCATTGGCTCTGATTCGAAATGCTGGCATTATAAAGTTCGATCCTAATTGTGATGTGTGCCACGTCAGAGTATACGGATCATGCACTTACGGATCATGCACACGATCCGTATGCATGATACACGGACCATGGGTTGTCAAAAAGGACGAATTGGAATAATCAGAGCCCCAGCAGTAGAGGATCGGCAATACTCAGAACAGCTGGTGATAAGTGGGTTACCAATTGCGCCTATACGATTACAAGCGCGATCATGCAGCTGAAGTTTAAGGGAGTTCGACAAGTGCCAGGCGTGTTAAGTGCTATGCAGACCATTTGCCGACATAACACTTGGCAAAAAGGTATGAACGGAAGTTCTCTTTGGCCGAAGTCGGCCACTTGCGTACTGGAGCCATCAACCGCTTCCTGAAAGCCGAAGTTAATCTAGCCCGCGTCAAAATCATCCGTATTCTGAAAAAGGCCCACCCATGCCGCGTCTGAGAGAATGACCAAACTTCATCGACGTTCGAAGAAACAGAATAGATCCGTCCCAAGTAATTCCTTCAGGGGAATCGACTCTGTGCTACGCGCTAATTCGTCCAGAGTACGGTAACTGCAAGCATACTATCGCCCCCGGATGATCAGGGCAAAGCTTCTGCGCTTACTTCACACACTACGGCTTCGAAGAACTCGACAAGTTGAAGGGGCTCACTCCAAATCACCTCCTTCTCAGCCCGCTACAGTAGCCTTTTCTAGAATCACATATGGACCTCCCAAGTATCTTAGCATCTTTCCAGGTCTATGACTTCATTTGCTTTTGCGGTATACCCGTTCGCCTCCATCATGATTGCTCCGAGGTCGCTTTCCGGGTATAGCATTTTGGCGAGAATCGCTGCGCCTGCCAGCAGTCCTGGACGGTGATCGTAGTTGCTCCCGGGGGTATTCGGCTGCGCGACCGCGGCCGCGGCCGCGGGTGCCGCCTCCTGCGGACGTCCACTGCTCCGTGTGCCGACACCTGGCCTCTCGGCCGCCGGCGCCGCCTCTGGGCGTCCACGCTTCCGCGTGCCGACACGTGGCCCGTCGGCCTCCGGTGCCGCTTCCGGACGGCCGTTGCTTCTGAGTCCGCTTGCACCGCCGGGGGCTCCGTCCGGCGCGCCCCGCGCGGCTGGGGCGGAATCGCGCCTTGCAGCGGTCCCAGACTCATTTCTGGCGGGAGTCTGTGATCATCAGAAAAGCTCCGAGCGTTAGGACCAATCTGGTTGCGAGGTTCTCAGCTTCGAGAAAAAAGGGATCACGAGGTGCTGGAAGAAGGGCGAATAACCATCATCTGCGGTAGGACTTCTAAACATCTGCATCCAGTCTCATAAGTATGAGTCCACTGTCAATCTCTCTTGGCTGCGTTTTTAGACCGGAAGCCTGACAAAGCAGTCGCTTGCGCCTCTCATCCCTCCTGACAGAAGAGAACGTTTTCCAGACAGACCTTTCAAAGTTCCAAAGTCAAAACTCCTATATATCAATAAATGACTAGCGTCTCCGAATCAACGCCCGGTAAGATCAACCACTCCGTTCGCTCACCTTGTCTTTCCGGCTGTTGTGCCCACCGGTGTGCCCGGCGAGCCCCTGCGACGTACTGAACCACCGGGTGCAGTGTAAGCAGTGGTACACCTTCTCTGCTCCAGGGGCATTGCCGGACCCGGGGGCCTGTACCGAGGAGTCGAAAGTCGATCGTCGGTCCGTTCTCATTGCAGGAATACAGTAACTTGGCTGGGGCGTAGGGAATTGGTTCATTTCAAGGTAACGACGAAAATTGTGATTCTGGATAAGTCGAATGGACATGTCTTGAGGTTACCCGAGCTCCGGAGGTGCCTGAAAATAAGCTTCCCTGTGAGTTCTTTCTACGAGGAGTCGGTCTTACTTCCTTAGCGCTCTCGAAAAGACCTCTTCTCAGCTCTTACTTCCTTGTCGCTCTCCAAAGACCTTCTTCTTATTGAACTCAAGCTCAAGAGAGGTTCGCTTTTCCCTTCTCATGAAATGTGCTTCTCTGAGGATCAATTCTTTGGGCGTCCATCTCCCTTGCTTGGATCACACTCAGCTCTGCCGTCAAAGTCCTGCGTCTGAATTTCACAGACATGCACCTGCGCTGATTGCGTCGGTGAAGTCTTGGATCTGACCCTTTATCAAGAAGAACGACTAAACAATTTGGCAAGATCCGGACTCGGCGGCAGCTTGAGTTTTGAAGACGTGGGAGCGCAATCGAAAATGTTGTAGGACCACCATTTCCTTTCCCCGCAGCGTAGCTCTTCGTTAAAATCGGTTCCTTACACAGGTGGAAAGATGTTTTCCACTGTGCGAAGGCTGCCAAGTATCGCGCCCTGACTTTCTCCCGATTTCGCTTGGCTTCCGTTCTCGACAATTCTCAAGGCTTGAACAAGTACGCAGCTAGAGGAGGGCACCTTTTTAGCTCTTCGTAAGACGGATGTTTACCGCTCGGTTGGTCTTCTCCGGGGCCTTTCTCCCATCCATCGCTGTCTCGATGATGGCCCTCCAGTTGTCCGGGGGAGCGAACCCGCCGCGCCGTCTCGCCTCGTCGACATCCTGCAACAGGTACAGATCCAGAGTTGGGTCCGCTGTGGAATGCTTTGCGTCCACTAGCTTTCGGCACAACTCCATCAGATGATTGGGCCTCTAGAGAAACAAATTCGGGGCAGTATCATTGTCAAAATTGACCTGACTGTTCGATGCCTGAAGGTCTCAGCGATGAGTGACCTGCGAGCGCGTAAGCGTGAGAGTGGTCAGACAAGCACAAATGACGCTGCCCTTTCTGTCCACAAGACTTTTCTTGTCTCTTGCCCCTGTGAAACCCCGTGCAGTCGCTGCTTAGAACAAAGGTTACGCAAGAAGATTCCACATCAGATTACTCTTCCGAGCATCTTGGACGTCGGAGATCACTCTCCTGACGAATCAACAAACTGCAAAGCAAGAATCTGTTGGCAAGCCGCCCTTACTAGCATTCTGAGGGTTAAACGTGATACAGTCTGATAGAAGGTGGAAGCACTTACTGACACCGGTAAGCAGAGGGGAATGTTTGCGGAGTCGTGGATGTGCTCAGCTTCCATCAGCATCAGCCGTTTCGCCAGGCTGGGACACGTTCGCAGCTTCTGCCTGCAAGGAGTCAGAGATTATGAAGTAAGTATTGTGAGAGATGATTACAACGTGAGAGATCCAAACTCACCCAGAAGGATGCGAAGGTCCGCGCAGCCTCGATGAAGTAGCCAGAGGATCTCCAAAGAGTTAAAACCGGCCCTTAGGAGCAGACAGCCCTTATAAGGTCGGTGTAAAGTTTTTTCGTGCAGAATCTGGCGCAAAGACAGTATTAAAACGCGTGCATGACTACGTAAGATTTTGAGATCGAAGTTTTGGCAACCGTGCCCAGTGCTGGAAGCCGCAACGAACAGAAGTCGGGGTGTCGAGGCGCAACAAGAAGAAGCCCAAAACACAATTATTCCGCTTCAAATGTGCCTCTATTCAGAAGGAAATCAAAGGAAGGAGTTTTTGATTGCAACAAACGATTTGTATGCACGCACGTAATTGAAAGTGTACATAGAACCATGTTCTTTCTGCATGCACAGGATCTCTGCAGGAAATAGATTTACTTAATGTCGTGCTTTTCAAGAGACGGCCTTGAAGCAGAAGGCAGAAGCTTGACCATGCATCTCACCCCAGCTTTTGTCCCGCCCTCTCGAACGCGGCCCAGAACTCCCCATGCATACCCTCCTTCATCTTCTCACTGATCACAATGACATGGGACGTCGAGTCATAAGCAAAGCCCTCAAACACCCCTCCCTCCGCCGCCCACCAGCGCCGCGCGGCCGCGTTCGCGACCGCCAGGAAGGGCCCTGTTTCCGCTGACCCTTCCGTGGCTTCCTTCCAGACCTTGAACCAGCGGAAGGGGCCCCTCTGGCGGAACCGCTTCTTGAGCGGGAAGCTGGCGTCATCCCGGAAGTGCTTGGTCTTGACGACGGCTTGGAAGTTGTCGAGGTCCGCCAGAGACGCAAAGTTCAGCGGTCCATCGGTCCCCATCATCGGCGTTCGACGCCACAAGTGGTGACAGGGAAGCGTGGAAGAAGCGCTACAAATCCTTGCGCTTATCCTAGCGTGTGCTCTTGTACTTGAATCGTGGCGGTATAAACCTGTGATAATCTAGACGCTGTAAGAAATCAGGCATGACGTCCAAGCGGCCGGACATAGCATGATACAGAAAGGCTGTAGGCTTCCGTCAATCTTACTGAGCCTGCGATGCAACGACCAGACTTAAGTCATGTCCCTTCGTCAGACCTTATTCAAGAAAACAAATTCACGGACTAGGTTGTATTGCCGGAACGTTGCCACATGCATGCAGGGAGTTCTTAGTTCCTTAGGATCACTTCAACAAAGTTTCAGATGTACACTCTCGAGAAGACAATCGTTTCATCAGACATGCGCGAAGATATCAAGCAGACTCGGTTACTGGTTGGACGTCAGAATCCACAGGCAATATAATACCCGCGAGCTGGGCGGGCCCCCGCTGGCATACGCGGCGCTGAGCCGGCGGCCGCGCGCGCCGGTTTGGAGCATAGGAACCGCCGCCCGCGGCCCGGACATTCCAAGTTCTGAGGTTTCAAGGGTTTAATAAAGATCGTTAAAGATTGACCAGCATTAGGGTTAGGGCCTAGGGTTCAAGCCATTACCCTTTGGCGAAAGTCTCCTCGCGCTTGGCCGCGCCCCTGCTGTGGGGCATGGCGAGCGAGTGTATGTTATGTATGAGCGTATGTCATGAGCGTATGAGCGTAACCGTGAGTTCGTGAGCGTAAGCCGCGGTTGTGAGCGTGGGAAGTGGTCGCCGAGATGCTGACGTCAGCAAAAGGCAAATGAATTTGGACGAAGCGTCGGGTGAGTATGGCTGATTGCATTTACTGCCTAAGGAATTTAGGGCTTTGTGGTCAGTGGTCAGTTTGTGTTCTGTTTCCGGAAGTTCAGGACAGCGACAACCGGGACGGCCCAACCGAGTGATCAGTACGGTGTACAGTGTACCGGTACATTCGCCGTACGGTACGGCACCGGCCGGCACCGGCCGGCACCGGGCCGGGGGCTTGGGATTGATAATAATTGAAGAGCTATGGACCGGCCAACTTGAAGTCACTTGGAGTGCCCGAGCTCTGAGAAGAATGGCCCGCGGTGTCCAGTCCGAAGCCCGAGGTCAGCCGGAGGTCTGGCTGCGCATTGGCCGGCGCGGTTATATTGACCAAAACGACAAAGCATCGCAGCCAGGATGCGATGCTTTGCTGATATGGTACCCGACAAGAATGCCCTGATGTTGTAAATTTGTCGGGTCTCAGCAAAGCATCGCTTCCGTGAAGCGACGCTTCGTGGACCTTGGCCCACAAAACCTCAGTTGCATGAAAATAACCTAGCCATGTTAGGTACTTTGATACATTCTGAATTTAATGGTACTTGCTACCCGGACGGAGTCCGGAGTCCGGACTCCGGACTCCAAATTAGGTTTATACTATATAGGCTATTCCGTATAGGTACCTACATTTACAGCTACCGAATATATACACATGTTTAAAGAGCCCGCTTCGACTGCTTCGAATTTTGTTTCGAAGCTGGTGGTACCTACCGTATATCGATAAAATGATATCTTGTCGATGAGGTTAGGTATAAGCATGTTAAAATTACCTATGTAATATAACCACACGGTGAAGCATTTTCGGAGCAAGCTGCCCGGTTGCGATCGATAGATTGTATTGAACTAGAAAAGCCACCGGATCACCGAGACCACTAACTCCCAAAATA